CAGAAAATGTACAATAAGCTCACAGGAGAAAAGCACTCACTGCATTACTGGAGATCTTGGAAAAAGGAAAGTGAATCCTGGGGATGGAGCGAATACATGAAAAGTATCTAATTGACTAATAAACATGACAAAAGAAAAGACTTTTTCCACGTTCATCACCCTATAGGCTCACCACTCTCATCTCTCTTGGCAAATGTTTTCATGAACAAGTTGGAGAATAATTTTAATATGTAACCCCAGCAGCAAACAGTAATTATGCAATATTTGGATGGCAACTTAGCAATTTGGTCGCATGGAAGAGAAAAATTAGACGATCTTTTGATATTCATAAATGAAATGGATGAAAAAGTCAAATTGACCAGGAATATGGAAGAGGGCTGACACTTACCGCTCTTGGATGTAGTGGTCATTCACTCCGAGGACACTCTCGAGAAACGAATTTTCCGAATAAAATAACTCTTAACTTCCAGTCGAACCATGCTTATGGGATGAAGATTGAAATAATTCTGAGTATGGTCACAAGAAGCTTACGACTCAGAAATTGTGATTTCTGGAAAGAGGAAATGGGAAATCTAACTCAGACATTGCTTGGAAACCGATTTCCAGAAGAGGCAATACAATGCAACATACGGATGGTGATGATTGGATGGAAGGATGGAGATTGTGAAAGGGAAACAAAAGAAGCAGAGAAAAAACGGTGCATATGTCCACCCTCTTGCAAATTGGCTCGGAAGAAACGGCCGTTGCTAAGCGAATGGGACATTTGTAGTCAACAAAATGGAGCGCTCCGGAATGTTTCCAGCACAAGCTGCAAAGACTGTGAACAAGAATATATTTGAGAGACGGGAAAGACAACCAGCACAAGGATCAAAGAAAAGCAGAGATTATGGAGAAAAATGGATACGGAAAGATCGGAGATAGTTAAACACATCGCCCTTACTGGCCACACAATTGGTTGTGAATACAACGTAAAGACTGGCCTCATGTGGGGAAAATAGCAAGAAACGGGAGATCAGGCAGGCTGTAGACATCCTCTTTCGAAGAAACCTGATGAACAGAAGATGAGAAGAGTCAACAATAATTTCACATGCTGCCTGAGCAGACTTGGAGATTCAGCAAAGACATCAAAAAGAAGACGCTTGGAACCAGGACAACTGTTCAAAACAGGAAAAGACATCGTAAATGGCAGGCTTATGAGTAACAAA